CTCATCGCCTTCTCGTGGCATAGGTGTTTTCGCACCCAAAGTGAGACGACGAAAAGCCCATATCCAGGGCTATAATCGGGTTGGTAGACCACTGGTAGATTACCTAAGGGAATTGGCAAAATCCCTGATTCCAAAACAACAAAGAGGAGGTGTACAAAACAACTCCCACACCTATTCGATTGTGGAAATGATCACAGGCACAATTCGGTATCGAGGTGATCGTGTTGGTGGTTACGGTTGTTCTGGTTGTTCTTGTCGTTGTTGTTGTGATGGCGGTGATCGTGTTGGTGGTGATAGTGGTGGTGGTGATGGTAGTGGTGGTGGTGGTGGTGGTGGTGGTGACGGTCAAGCCAATCGAGTCCCAAGCCATTGTAGCCTGAACACCATTATTTCAGTTTGAAAGTTGCCAACCCGACTACGCATCACACATCACTTATTAGGGTCTTACATCCTCAACCACTCCAGGCCTCGGGGTTTAATTTGCCAGTTCCCAAAGCTGTACAATATTTTTTGGTTCTATGGTCCATAAGATTTACTCATATTGATTGGCCGTCCTTCAAACTCCTTCCTCGTTTGCAATGAATACTCCGTTCGTTCAGTCAGCCGATCATCAGAAAATTTACTTACATTGGTGCTTATCAGTACTGCATTTTCACCATCTTATATGGCCTTTAAGAACCCACACTCGGCTTAACCAGAATCACCAAGTCAAGTTATGTTTATCAGATTTCGTTCTGAAAGTCAGTCAGCTACAATGAGTGAGTGAGTCAGTCAGTCAGTTAGTCTGTAGTGGCTTGAGACCAACAGTGTAACATGCTCGAGAGTGTCACCATCTTTGGTCTGCCTGTTCCCATGTATGCCTTCACATAATTGCAGGCATTGGTTGCTTGGAGCCTTCGCTCGTGCATCCTTCCCCTTTGTAGCATAGAATCCGCCAGGATCTTTGATATCCTGAGACCACTTCTTCAGCTAAGTCTTTTATCTTTGTTTAAGTCTCTACCACCTCCGGTGAAGTACTCCTCACTTTAAACGGTGCGTGAGTTCAGAGCTACACCTTTCGCTTGCTAAGCATTTCCACTTTCAGATACTCTCGAGCAGAATCAGGCTAAACTCCGGTGCTTCCAGGGAACAATATATTTTCCCTCGACTAACCAGCGGTTCTTCCTGCTTCATACTGGGCGATCGAGAAACACGGGATATTTAGAGATCGGATCGTTATTGCGCATCTTGATATCGCTCGTCCCCCATCTCCGAAATTCAGTAGGTCAATCAATTGTTGGCCGGGTGCAGTATGCAATACGCTCAAACTACAATCGACGACTCCCCGTCCAGGCTAGATCAGATAAGAAATTTCTTCTAGTTTTCCTGTAATGAATCACATATTTCACACCAGGATCCACAAGTAGTTCTGAGCTGCCAGCGAAAAATGCTTTAAACTATAAGTGTTGAATACCGCTTTCTCTCCTGAAGCGATGCTGTCGAAGTATTTCCGTAGCATCCAGAACAGGAACTTGGTTTTTCACTAGTTATTTGTTTTACGGTTATACAATTGTGATGATTGCGTATAAATCGAACATTCTTGTTTCATTACATGATCGATTGCTTTGTACAATTTCGACGCGTAATACAAAAGCTGACTTCGAATATTCTGGAGTTCTATTCCATACTGCGTACTAGTTCGGTTGGAGCTTAATTTCGCGGACTATTGCGGTTCAATTCGTGATACCAAATACAGATTACCACAACAATGTTGCATCCCGGTTGAGTATGTAGATAAGCAGGCAGTGAATTGGGCAGTACGTTTATAGTAGTAAGTCCACATGTAGCCCGTCCGGTAAGCAAGCAGGAGCGGGAAACACGTAAACAGGCAGGCCGACAGACGGCTCAAGCGTCATATGACATCCATGTGCTGTCAAGCAAGCATTCAAACAGTCAACGAATCAATCAGCGCGAACAGTTCAATACTAATATCGGATTAACTGGAGCCGATCACTACTTCAATAGAGACATTCCGCATGGTATGAGTGCGTGCGTCTGTGTGTGTGGTAGCAGGCAGCATCTGCCAATCAAGCTAGTTTTCTTTTATCTTTTACTTCCTCATATGTACTGTTACTGTGTTCACTTTTCTCCAATCTACGATATAACCTATGAGAACCCAAGTATGAGGAATTCAGTTCAATCACCTTTATTCTTTCGGAAAATATTCCAAAAATAACCATTTACATTGACAAAACTAATTCATTCTTCATGTGATTTGTTCACTAAAGTGAGTTATGCCATCATAAAACTCCTACAAAATCTCCCGGCCTACTCTATTGAAAATTTCGAATAACTAAATACCATTCCACAATGCCTTCAAATCCAGTATTATGGTGCAAATGCTTTGCATTCTGACATGCCTCTCAGATAAGATCGCGAGGTTTTCTGTAACGTTCAAGTACCGCTTGCAAGCCACACCACGAAATAAAAACCAGTATTTTGTCAAATACGACGTATAAAAATGTCACTGACATGACAATTTCATACCATGACTGAGTGGATTGTGTCATTCCAATCTACAGATAAATACATCCGAATCTTGCCCCTCACTAAGTACAGCAAGTTCGGTGGAAGATTTGATGAAGTGCCAGTTTTCTGTTTGCTTACTAGTTATAGGCGTTCTCTTCCTTTTGAGTTTCATCTAGGGTTGAATTATTCCCAATGAAGGGTTCAATTTAATCACCAGTTTTATCTTTTATGTATGTGTAATACGGACATCGAGGTCATACGTGTCAACCTGTGTTTATCTTTCTCCGAGAGGATTTTTACTTGTATCCCGTCCGTTTTGGACTGGTGTGTGTGTGTGTGTGTGTGTAGATGTTTTATCATCCCGTGCCACGCTACAGTGTTCTGAAACTTATCCAGCAACGACCCAAACGATCTCACTGTATTTATTCGAGTATAAGAGTCTGATTTATATTTTGGGTGCTCTGAAGCGATACTTTCTGTCACAACAAATGGTCAAATGTAAGCCATGATTTAACAGGATACTATCGCAGCTCATCCGGCCTATTCTCACTCGGAAAGTGTATCAAAGTGTAAGCATCCTTTTTGTCTACAGAACACGAACTATAGAGGTATTGTTGACCATAGACAGAAGTTTTATTCAAAACTCTTACGGAACAAGCAGTCTGGGAATTTGTGCGGAAGGGTGATGAGAGCTCAAATCCGGTCGCAGCTCATTCGCATCGGATGTCATGTGACTGGTCGACCGTGTTGTCGACATTACCAATATTGATCGGCCAAATGATTATCGATCTGTATTTCACCCGTTGACCTTGTAAATTGTGTGGAGACAATTACAATCAGCTCGCAATCCAGTTCAGGGACTTGTGTTCTCCACAGACCGGGGGCGACCAGTTTTAACAAACCTTTCATTCTGATTGGTTAGTATGCCTCGTATTCATGAGAGTGCAAAACGTTTGTCTCAGGTCCAATTTTGGGGTAATGTGAAATTTGAAGACGCGGTCTAAACAGAATGGGGTTGCCTCAACCACAGCCAAATTTCAGAAACAGCTTATACCGTGAGAAATAGGCTGTGCAGCTTGGTTTTACTTGTATAAGCAGCTATTGATTGGTGCCAAAAGTCCAGATGGTCTCTCGGGATTTTGGAGAAGAAAATGAATTGCTTGCGTGGAAGCGTTGTCTATGGGTTTTCTGTGAACGGGTCTGTGTGAACTGGTAAAGGCTGGTTCATAAATGGGCCACTATTGAAGGAAGTATAATTAGTGGTTCTTTGAGGTCCATTTTCTGCAGCAGAAATCGGTACTCTCAGAATGCAAGACCGATATTTTTGAGTAAGTTCCATTTTGAGTTTCAGACGCATTTATGCAGATTCATTTGGTAGATATATTGATGACCGAGTCTATTTTTTACGCTTTACATGGAACCTTCTTGAAAGATGGTGTGATTCACTTAGTAACGTTAGGTTAAATGATTGAGTACTTTCATCCACCACCAACAACGAGCATCCTGTCACACCAGTTAGATTTACAGATCAGTGAACTGTTAATCTTCAGGCATTTATTGAAGTTTACTGGTGTCAATCCATTTGACTGAATTGATGAAATCTCCTCATTGGTCGCAGAATGATTCCATAAAACCACTTTGAACGATGTCTGCCATGAACGAAAGGTTGCGGTCCATTGCTTCCGTGATCCAGTCCGCGATAGTTGATCCTTAATTCTTGTTCCGCGATTTGTATTACGTGGTCCTTACTCCGAGTTCAGAGTGTATTACTATCACTGCTACTACAATTACAATATCCTTTCGCTGGCATCAGTAATTCATCAACTAATTGACTGTTCACTTTGGTTTAAATCACCGGCTGTCTGTCCAACTTTTAAACTTTTACATATGTCATCAAAACAGAAAGAAGACAAATGTCACGAGGTGTTAACATTTCGTTTCATCTTCTCAGTCACTGACTTAAAACAAACAGGCACATATATCGCACATGGGATTAATCAATTTGGGTGGACAAACATGTACAAGCATACAAAGATTACTAAATTTAAAAGTAGAAGGTCAACTCCGCGGTGAGTGGATTGCTTGTATCAAAAACTTCTGTGTGCACAAGGTCGGGTGATGTAATCGAATAGGCAGTGCTTCACTAATCACCACTAATCACCCGATGGCTGGTAGACACTCTTGATCCCATTCGTAAGTCTTTCATGCGTCACTGTGTGAAAGGTTCTTTTGATTTCTATGAAACAGTTGACTTTTCATGCGATTATATTTCTTCAAACAATTTTCAACTTAATTATTCCTCTTGAATACTTAAGAGAACTTATTCTTTAGCATTGTGATTACGTGAGAGTGGTTTGAAAGACGAATTGAGGTCAACTGTGTGTCTTGTTTTCATGATATGTTTTGCAAAAGATGATCCTGGATTTCTTGCAATCACTTGGCCATCAGTTGTCGTTTGAGTCAACGATTTCACCAACCACTTTGGAATATGTTCGGCCATCCGTTGTGCCAGCTGACGGTTTGTTCTGCCTATGCATGCGTCACCGCAACTGCACGTGAACTGGTATAGTGTATGAGACGGAACCGGTTTGCCAGCCATGTTTACGTTTGTCCAATTCGATTCCACGAGTGGAGGCGATGACTCTGAGTTGAGCAGCTGCGAATGTACGTACTAGAACAGACCTCAACGTTTGGAGCACACCATTGTAAATGTGATCACCTTTGAACGCAAGCTTGATGTAGATGGCCTTTTTACAGACGTTTTGGGATGGGTTACCTTTTGGAATTGGTCTACTATGAATATCTATAAATCTTTCTGGGAAACCATTGTTTAGCAACGTCCTCCTTAGGAAATTTTCTTCCTTTAGTGTATCTGGAGAACAAATGTTTCTC